AACTGTATAAGATGTGAATTTTTATATGAATCTTGAAGAGAGCAATATACTATTTCGATTACCGATATACTGAATTTACAAGACAATATGAAAATACGTTTCTAATATTTAAGACAATTTTCCAAAATTATCATGTTTGCTTTGCTTTTCTAAATGTTATGAAAATTAAATTTAAAATTTTATCATGTAGTATGGAAAAGTAATGATTTATTGTCAACGAATTTAATATTTAAAATAATACATATGTACGCAATAAAAAAGCGCATGATTTTGCTCCAGAATTAAATTGAAAGATTTTAATATTAGCATATCGTGTAAATTTTTCTATTGCATTTACAAAATAATTCTGGTAATTATATTATTATTGGTTTTATAACGCGACTTTTAATATCTTAAAAATTCAGCTATAGCGATTCTTCATATTCTTTGCAATTCCTAGTTTAATTGCATTGCGCAATAATTATTTTGATTCTGACATTTGTTATGAATTTGCAACATGTATTGTATGTCATTATATTCCTTGATTACAAATATCTATCCGTTATTTCTCTTTGTTGCATTTTTACGCATTTTAACAAAATTTCTAATTTTAGCGTTTGCGTTTGTTTTCTGTGAGCAATTGTTTACGACTTACGGAGCAACACATTTCTGTGTTAAAATGTCATCATACAAGATTAAAAAAAAGATGCGTAACTACACCTATTGCGCAATACATGATTTTGGACAATGTTATGAGGAATTTCCTGGAATGCGTGCACGGTATTGCATAAAAATATCTTCTTAAAAATCAACATGACTCGCTTTTTCTTTTTTTTATTACATAAATATGCAATCCCAAAATTAAACTATTTTATATTTATATAAATTTGAATTATTTAACATTAACTTTTGATAAATAGAAGAAGGATCAATTTGACATATTATTGTCGAGAGCTCGGTATATTAAAAGAAATAAATTAATTGCATGCACGCTTTTATAAGTGTGATGGTAATAAATGCCAACTCTCGCAATGCATACGATTATTGCAACATGTAAAATGTCCTTCGCGATAACTTTTCAAATACGCATCGCGAATCATACAATGGCAAGAACAGAAGTAAACAAAGCTTGCAGCTTTCCTTGGAGATAACAATTGTGAATAAAACGTAAATTCTGTTAAAAATTATTGATCTCTCTGGAAATTTGATGATTTTTATTTAAATCTAAGTAATACTCTATCTATTAGTTATTATTTATACGTTGAATATATCTATATGTCTTGCATAATAAAAAAAAGTCCAATCGCAATTTGCATATCATGACTAATGCGAGTCATGCTGATTTTTATGAAGATATTTTTATGTGATATCGTGCACGCATTCCAGAAAAATTCCCCGTAACTTTGTGCAAATTTACTGTATGTCGCGCAATAGGGTGCAATTACGCATTTCCTTTTTTTTTAGTTTTGTACGCTAACGTTTTAACACAGAAACGTGCTACTTATTCGTAAATCGTATGCAATTGTGCCCAGAAAAGCAAATGCAAAAGATAAAACGTTCGCCATTGTTACGTTATCAGTTACATGCACATGTTTGCAAATGGAATTTCAAATGAAATACATATACCTCGCGTTGCAAGCCATGTTTCCCTTGAGAGATGAGAAGAAGACCAACTCTCAAAGCTCATTCCGTAAATCAGCTTTTGATCCTACACAGGTCATGAAACTCGAGCTTTTTTGCCTCAAGGCTTTTGCGCCCAAAATACACCGTTCTGAGGTATAATACAGATTGTATAAAATTTCCTAATAAAAAATTGTTATACGTTGCATATTTTTTGTCGAACTTATAATCTAAAAAAAAAACATTTAACCAAAAAGAGACAAAACCTATAAAAATACTTAATATTTAAAAATCTCTCGATTTGTTTATCTAATATGCATATATTTATCATATTTTTAAAAAGTAAACTTTTCAAAAAAATTATTTAACGAAATAAATATAATGTATAATACAGAATATTTCGAAATTGGCGAATCAAAATATTACAGTAAGAAAGTTTAAAAAAAAAAGTTATGAAAATGCCATTTTTTAACCGAGAACTCTCTTGTTATGGTACTTTGATTTGTGAATTTTAGGGCATTCTGCATATTACAATATAATAACAGAATAATAATAAAATTATACTATAAAAATGGAATTAAAATATTATTATTATCCAATCTTATCTGTATGTTGCATATTCACGTTTTACATCTTGTCTCTTACGCCAATTAAACTAACTAGATCAATTGAATATTTTTTTTATATTAAAACTGAATGCAATTTAATACCAACATAGTGCAATAATATATCTCTGTCAGAAGTAGGTCGTGATATCGGGTAAGTAGTCGATCTGTCGACAACACGAATTTACAACTGGCTGAGAAATCACTGATATTTCTTTTTCTTTATCTGATTCTGCGCGATCAAATTGATGCTGACGCATCATAAATACCATTTCCTAAAATTGAGCTACAATCTTATGAAGAATAACAAATAACGATGTGTGTGCATCGCGCGCGACTCATGAAAGTGATACTCGATGCTTTTAGAAATAATATTGACAAAACATTATGAAATATTTAGATATAAATAAATCTATATCTACAAATCTACCAAAAACTTTTGAGATATCACATTGATGTACGTCTCGTTGCAAGTTATAATGACCCAAAATTCATTTTCAAGTAACCAAATCGCGTCCAAATAAATAACGTTTGATAAATAAATAGCATAATTAATGTTTTATGTTCGAGGAACAGTTCCTGATCGCATAAATGTATATATTAAAGTTTTCACAATAGGAAAAAAATGTAAGACATTTTTAATGTCTCATATTTTTTTTTGCAACAAGCTTTACAATTCGAGACCGTAGTCGACGAGTTCGCCAAGAGATGAGTACTGATATAATCATAGTCGTGTCAAAATGAGATCAAGGTTCACATTCACGCATTATTTATATTCCTTTTTCTCTCTTTTCTCGATGAATCACGCGTTGATACCATAGTGTTTATCATCGAATAGTCTCTTCATACAGTTGCTACAGCAGAGCAGATATAATGGTATTACTGATTATCAATTGTGTTGAACATATTATACTTATATACCCGATATAAATTTTCCATCAAAGTTAGTCACGAATGTTTAATATGATGTGCATCATGCTACATATATAATTTATTATACAATTTACATTTTCCGCTAAACTACAGATATTAACTTTTTTTTTATACTATTTACTGTTATAATTATATATTCTATATTTATAATTTATAGAATTATATTTATAATTTTATACTGTATACTAAACTGCAGATATTGACTGTTTTTTACACTATTTAATTTTTAGCCTTTACTAACAGGAGTTAATTAATTTTGGCATCGCGATATTTGTTCCTTTTTCTGTGAATTATATAATTGTAATTTAAATAAATATTTCTTTGCAGCGAATGGTATAGCAAAAAGTCTGTAATTATTGAAAGAATTTTGTTACAAATGTCGAAATATACTTTATAACTTTTTAAAATTACCATTTTAAATTTGTTTATCTTATATTACTGAAAATCTTATTGATCTTGATCTTTGACTCTCTTACTACTCGACTGATTCGATTCATACTTTATCTCGAAAACATAATTTGAAAAAGTTAAATCGTTTTTGAGAAATCTTTTAAATTTCTTTACGTTAATTCATACTCGCGACGGCAATGATAAAAATCGGTAAAAATTAATTTATTTTTCTAACTTCACAATATTTATTAAATAATACAGCGTAACAATAATAAATATCGTGAACTCAGAAAGATGAATTAAATTTTTACCGATTTCTACGTAGACAATTTTTAAGAAAAAAATTCTTGGCATTGCAAATTTTCTGTACGACCTAAATATAAATATGCGTAAATAATATCAAAGCGAGTCAATTGCATCGGAAGCATAAGTTCTGTGATATACATACAATGGAACACTACGTTCATACTTCATCTTGTCGTATAAACTCGCTTCAGACTTATCTTCGTCTACCATACATATTTGCTACGATACGATTAGTCACAAGATTTATGTTTTCCATCGTCGATGCATCGCACATATTTTATTCCTTTCGCCATATTTTCTTCTCTTTAATATACATGTATTTATAATAGATACGTTTCAAAATTTTCTTTAATCCCAAAGCCGAATTAAGAATCTTTATCTACTACAAAGACCGTGTATTGAAAAATATTAGGAGTGTGATTTAGTTTTGAGGGTTTTTTTTTTTCTCAAAAATCTGATCTTAAATCACGTAAACGTTTAATAACTGTTGTACGATCAACATTTAATTCTCTGCAAGTTCTGAAATGGATTGTGTTGGATTTTCATCCAATAATGTTTGTAAATCTGCATTTTCCAACTTTTGTCGTTAACTTAAAATCATCGACAGAATCAATATTTACATGTTTTAATTGATGGAGCAACATCACCTTAAGCTTCTATCGGAATTCTATGATCTTCAGCCGCCGGTTTCCTCTGATTAATAAACAAAAGCAACGCATGTCGAAAATGCTCTTCCATTTTTTTAATGGTATAAACACGATATTTACTGCGTCTATTATCAGTAAACGACTAAATATCATGGAGTAATTAAAGCATTAAGAAATAATAACTGTTATTGGAATGTCTTCGACAACACTGACATTAATGCCATCTGTTGCAAAATCCTCAAAAGTAAATCACACTCCTAATATATGAGGCTCATAATTGAACTTATAATTATCTTAGGTACTTAATTAATGACTGTCGTATTTGTTCGAACACTCTTATTTTTCTACATTTTTTTAAAAAAACTTTTTTTACCACACCAAGAACAAAAAGAATGTTAATTAATATTTATTCTATTTGCTCGAGATCGATAAAATTCTTTTTAATATTCTATTTGTCTAATCTATATATAAAACATAAATCCATATTTTTAAAATATTAATTTTACTCTTTTCGTTACAGAAAACGGTGGCACTTTAAAGATTCTTTTGAGTTTTGCCGTGGGCGCATTGTTGGGCGATGTTTTCCTACATCTTCTGCCGGAAGCATTCGAAAGTGAATTTCAAACGAGAGGTAATTTACATTTTATATTCTTGTGCACAACAATATAATTAAATGTATCTATTCTATCTTATCTTATAAGGAAATTTTAACATATCATAAAAGATATTATAATACAGTATATTTATTATTGATAAGCTTGATCTTATCGATTAAAAAAATATAAAAAAGACGATTGACAACGCGTGAATGAATAGAATGAATAGAATTCATATTATGAAGAATAATAAGTAGAAGTAAAAAAAAACAAATCTATTTTAAAATTTCTATGCATAAAATTTATATTCGTATACATAATAAAACGAACAAATAAAACGGGGTATGTATGTCGTGCGAAAACTAACATTAGGAAAAAACGTTACCGAAAATAATGAATAGCCTAGATCGTTTACATTAATGAACCTTTATCCTGATATTTTTGTCATCGCGAAATCTGTTCAGCGCGAATATGGAACGTGAATATCTGGTATTCCTGGATTGTTCTATGTAATATCACACACGTATTACATATGTGCTCTGAATGCGTTTTGCAACGTTCTGCACGTTAGCAGAGTACAGCTGCGATCTCGAAGGGCATCACCGTGAGCTTTATGAATGATTTAAGCGGCGGCTTCGAACTCTATTGTGCGTCAGTTGCAGATCTGAATTGCCAGCTGCGTCCACGTAAATTAAATGTCCTTCCGACCAAACCGCGTTAGGAATTCGAGGTGATCGACGGACTGGTAATATTCGTGTAAATTGCTCAATTTGAATTGCAAATTTCCTAACTTTCATTTTATATTTCTTACGCCTTTGTTGCTAGTAGAAAGAAATACCGTGAAAAGTTCCGTGATAATTTAAATGAATACTAAAGATTCATTAAGAAAACAATATAATTATGTATCTATAATATATAGAGCTTATTTATTAATATTATGAATGCAATGAAAATTAAATAGTGCAGTTTCATATGAACTGATTATAAATCGTAATATTTGACTTATTCTTGAATTCTTCTTATTTATATCCAACTTATTAATTTTATATATTTTATTTGCAGCTAAAAATAATCACGCATCTACACCTGCAGGCTTATGGGTATTGTCGGCCTTTCTGTTCTTCGTAATTGTTGAAAAACTCATCGCCACTATAAACGAGGAAGCCGCCCCGATCATTGTAGAACAGCAGACTGATGAAACTCTGATAGAGGATATGAATAAAGAAAAAGAAATGGATAATAATAATTGTATCATGATGACGAGCACTGAGAAAAATAATTTATTAAAAGAATGCTTGAAAAGTACAACCGAGGTAAATAATTATAAAAAGGCTTTATTATAATTTATAATATTTAAAATTAGTATATGTGAGAAGTAGACTTTCAAAATGCGTTTTGTACAAAATTTATAATTTTCAAAAAACTAGAAAAAAAGCAACAAGAAAACTGCGCACCTTATAGAAAATAATAATTTACCAATCAGTAAAATGTGAAATGTTCAACAAAATTGTTAAACAATTGCTAAAAATGTTAAATACATTTTGTTTGTCTCTAGTTAAAGGACATAATGCACTTCGAATGTCAAGATTTTTTTCATAAATTTGTGATGTAGAAATGCTTTCAGAACATCGTAGAGCAACTTAAAATATGAGTCTCTCAACATTGAATGCAACTATGCCATTTTTCACTCAAGAAATGAAATTTTGGATAAAATACATTGGAAGTCTGCTCCTTACGTGTATATAGGGAAGAGTGGCCTAAATCGGATTGTGTTCCAAATAGGACTTTTTTAATTTAAAAATAATACGGTTAAGCAGATTTGGGGGCTATTTATAATGTAAAGTCCTTATAAGACACTGAACATATGACAGTAATTTGACAGTTCTGTCATAACATTCATAGAATAGACGCAAATATGTATTTTCAGCCATCGTGTGAAAATTTAAAAAAAAATCCTTGTAAATTATTATTTAAAAGTAAATTATTATTGTTAAAAATTAGAAAGGTAATTGATTGGATCTATAGTACAGTAGATAATTTATAGACCTGGTTGTAGTACTGATAATCGGTCGATCAGGCCTTCAAGAAATTAAATCAGTAAAATATGAATCACCAGACTCAAATTAATTGAGTTTTATTCACTTCAATTCTAATAATATAAACTGTCAGTAATTTTTTTTCTGAATAAAATTTTTATCTTTGACTTTATTTACGCTTTATAGAGAGCAAAAACTGCAAATAGGTCCAATTTATCCCACTCTCTCCCCTACATATATGTACATACTTTTTTCTCTTACATATATGTATATACTCGTACTTATTTTAATACTTTTATATAGAGTGTCTCAAAAAGGTCGGGACAGCTCGGAAAATATAAGTTTAACAGAAAAGTGTTTCAGATAAAATTTCCTTTTTTAAATGGAATAGTATGATTTTTTTTTTTATATAATATGATTCCTTCAATTATTCTGCATATCAAAAAGCCAATAGTTTATGAGATACTTTATGCTTTATTCTGGCACATATTAACAAAAAATATTAAATACCTCGTAAACTATTAATTATTTTATAATTGTATCTTAATACTTTTACTTCTGGAAGTGAAGAGGATGAAATTTTGAACTAAAAGTTCCTTTCCTAATTTTAGATCGGACCATTATTACTGATTGTGAATTATTAACGATTAAAGTTAATAAGTCTAATAAGTCTCAATCAAATTATGTCCAGCCGGAGTACGCAAAAGCGTAGCATAGGATTCCTCGCGCTTACTGTACAAAATAATAAGATTAATCAATTGATGTATAAAAAATACATAGTTATTTAAAATATTATATATTTTGCCTATATATTTTTTTCTAAAAAAAAACTATATGTTTTCATCTTTATACTAATTTATTTATTTCATTATTCCGTTCATACAAGTATTAAGTACGATTATAAAAAAATTAATAGTTTATGAGGCTTTATATTTCATATCAATATGTGTCAGAATAAAGTATAAAATAAACTATTGATTTTTTTATATTTTTCTATTTTAATACTTTTATATGCAGTAATTGGGGAAATCATATCACATAATTATGAAGGAATCATATTATGTAATATAAAAAAAATCACAATTCCTTTTTAAAAAGTGGAGATGGACCTTTTTGGTGTTTCCTAGAAAAAAAATAACATGACCAAAATACATCTTTGAAATCGTTCTACTTTTATCTAAAACACTTTTTGTATCTTATATATTTTTCAAGATATTTGTTTGGGGCAATTAAAATGGGATGCTCTGTGTGTATGAGTGTATACATATAATATATATAAAATAATTTTTCATATTAAATGATTCTAAATCATTAAATGTGTAGCTAAATATATAAATGAGTCTACCTATTTGTCTACTCATTTATTGATTTATTCATTCATCTATTTATTATTATGAAAAATTATAATAAAATTTTAATTGGGAAAATGTACAGTAAACGCGAGGAACTCTGTGTTGCGCTTCTGCGTATTTCGACTGGACATAATCTGATTGAGCAACTTTAATCATTAATAACTCAGTAATAATGGTCTGAGCCAATTAGGAAAGAAACTTTTTAGTTCAAAATTTCATCCTCTTCAACTCTCAGAAATATTAATTGAGAGTTATGAAACATATGTATACATATGTATGGAACATTATATATGTATATACATACATACATACATACATATACAAGGTCTGAAAAAAATAAGCGGACTTTTTGAATTATTCTGCAACGGAGCGACAAAAATCGCCACTAACATTAAAATACGTTGCATTCAAATAGCAATAACTCTGAAACTAAACGAGATGTAAACAATTTAAAAAAAAGTTAGTTACTCGGAAGATTATAACGATTGTAGTGTTGCAAACCGCACGTCGTTAGGATGCTCCGTTGCCGAGTAATTCAAAAAGTCCTTATTTTTTTATCAGATCTCATATATGTATGCGCGCGCGTGTGTGTGTGTGTGTGCATATATGTGTGTGTATACATATATATACACACTTAGGAAAAACTTCACCAACATATTCTACAAGTGAAAACAAGAAAAAAAAATGTTATATAAACATAAACTTATAAATGCTTTATTGAAGTTATAATAAAAATACAAAATGATAACGGATTGATGTTTCATCGATATAGCATAGGAATACATTGCTGAATGTTTACTCAAATTTTAATGTTTACTTGTTGAGGTCATTGATTTGGTCATTGACTTATGTTAAAAACTAATAATGCGTTAGATCTCTGTACGATTTCGTATCAAGATGCCGCGAGTCTTTTAGATTCATGAATACGATGACATTTCATTTGTGGTTTTTGTGATGGAAATAGTGTAAGTTGTTATAAGAGAATGTCGGCAAAAATTCCCTCAAAGGAGAGTATCACATCGATCAGTGAACCATAAGAATTCATGAAAAGAATAGGCTCGGTTCATAATATAAGACAAAAACATCAATTTTATAGATCAATATATAATCGAAATCGCTCTAAAAGAATCTAATAAACGTCTTTGATAATGATTTGGGACAAAATATTCGAAGAGCTTCATATCAACTACAAATATCCAGATCTACAATCTGGTGAACATTATATGTGATGGGAAAGATATCCATATCATTACACGCGTGTACAGAAACTTTTATCGACAGATTATGAGAAGAGGATACGTTTTTGCGAATGGTATATGCGTGCAGTCCTCGATAATAATTTTCAGTCAAATATTTTGTGAATGCATGAATAATATTTATGAGAGCCGGTGTTCTAAATATGCGTAATAACTAATGGAGATATGAAAATCCTTATAGTGTCTGAGAAAGAGAGAGAGAGAGAGAGAGAGAGAGAGAGTTTCAATAGCAATTCAAATGCAATGTATGAGCGGGAATATGCAACAATCACAGATACTCTCGGACTTATTTTTTATTTGAAAGATTAACTGCACAATTTTTTTTGGATTTCCTACAAAATGAATTGCAGCCAGAATTGGTAGGAGATATTTCATCAATTATTATATTATTTCATCAAAATTTATGGATTTAATTAAATGGTTGTCCAGCACAGAATGCAGCACCAGTACGACAATGGTTAAATGATTATTTTCCCCCTCAATGATGGATAAGATTGAGGAGGATCAATTCTTTGGCCCCCAAAATCACCAGATATCACGCCATTGAATTTTTATTTATGGAGAACTGTGAAAGAAAAAAGTTTATCAAACCCGAATTAATACATGTCAAGAGTCAATGCAAAAAATTCGTGATGCATTTGTTGTAATTTAAAAAAATCAAGAAGAAATTAATAATGCAATAAATTCTATTTTTCTCGTATCAGTTTTGTATTCGTAACGATGGACAATATTTTGAAATGGAATTATAATAAATCTATTTCTATATAGCATTGAACAAAGAAGCAATCCGTTGTTATTTTTGTATTTTCGTTATAACTTTTCAATAAAGCATTTATGAAGCTATGTTTATATAATATTTTTTTCTTGTTTTTACTTGAAGTATAGTTGGTAAAGTTTTGCCAAAAAAACTGGGACACTCTATATATACATATTATATAATTGTCTAATAACCAAATGTATTCTGTGATAGGTACAATTCCTGGAGAAACAATCCAGTAAGGTGGAGTTTACTCAAATGCTGAATGGTATCAAAGATCTACGAAAGAATAGTTTTAAAGAAGCTGACATTATGAAATCTGCATTAGCAAGCGAATGTCCTAATGATGGTCCGCTGGTTGACGAGGCAAAGAACTGCTTGAAGAAACTCGCGAAGACGACTAATGGCTTCACATCAGTGATTTCACGTGTTGACTCTCCATGCGTACGCTCATCAAACAATATTGTTAATCGTTTAACCGCATGGGCAAAAACATTCACCTTCGACTTGTTTCGCAAGTTTTTCGATCCCAAAGCCTTTCCCGGATACCTAAATCTTTTAATGAACTTCCTCGACAATTTTACTCACGGTTTATCCGTGGGTGGATCGTTCCTAATTTCCTTCCGTGTAGGTGTCCTCAGTACGTTCACTATTTTGGTGCATGAAATACCTCATGAGGTTGGCGATTTTGCTATTCTATTACGAAGTGGATTTAGCAAATGGGATGCTGTGCGGGCACAGTTAATCACGGCTAGCGGTGGGATCGTTGGTGCTTTGGCAGCAGTCTCTTTTTCTGGTAGTTTAGGTAAATAATATCTTTCAAAATTTGTGAAGTGTAAGATAATATATAAAAAAAACTTGATAAAAATAATATAAGATAAATTAATCTAATAATAATATAGTTGTATCTTTTATTAGCTTAACGATAAAAATTTTGGTATTGACATTACATTTTATTAATTTTATTTATTTCATTGTATCAAGTAATTTTTGAAATAATATTTATCTACTATAGATAATCTTACTAATAGTACCTATTATCTATTACGTGGAATTTATTTTATTGAATAGAATTTATAAATTTATATATCTTTTTCAGAGGAAAGAACCAATTGGATATTACCATTGACCGCAGGAGGATTCATACATATTGGTTTAGTAACCATCCTGCCTGATTTGTTAAAAGAAACGAATACAAAAGAATCTTTGAAACAATTTGGCGCTTTACTTTTGGGAGTTGTTATCATGGCTGCACTGATCTTTATTTAGGTCAAATATATTTCATTATAAGAATTATAGCGAATTCAATTGCCGCAGTGCATATTAAAGCCGTTATAGAATAATCTAATTTGAGTATAAAAATGATATATAAATATTTTAAATGATACATGTGTGTGTGTGTGTGTGTGTGTGTGTGTGTGTGTGTGTGTGCGCGCGCGCGCGCGCGTGTGTGTAAAATACATATTTTAAACAGCACAAAATCTAATAAAGCTTTCACGATTTAACTCGTTTCTTTCGTTACATTTAAATTAAATACATATCTTTATTATTAATTTGTACATGACGACTTTATATGCACTAGTATACAATCGAATTCACTATTAACTATGCAGAGAATTTCTATTATGTTGATGTAAATTTCAGTTATGTGTTATCGCTGAATTGATAGAAAAATGACACGTCTCAAAATTACCAATTTTTCATACAGAATATTTTTACAGTTCTGAATTGGAACAACATTTTAATTAGAATAATGAATATGCAGTTTTTTTCTTTCCATACTGTACTTTCAATTATAATATAATATGATCTTTAAAATTATATTATGAGTTTTCAAAATTTGAATACTGCAACCTTAATACAATCCTATAGTATATATATTTCATCCCTTAATACAATTATATAACTTTTTCATATGAACAAGTGAACTACAAATGTATCATTTTTTCCAAAGATATATTGATTTTCACGAGTCATTTTTTTACGTGTA